ATCCATTTCATCTGAGTTTTTTAATTTATTGGGGTAAATTCATTGGTGCAAATTCATTGGTGTACATTATATTCTCTTGTTAATCTTTATGTTGTTTGATGTATTCCTTTTTTTGCTGATATGTTAATTCTAATTCTGTATTTTATGTGTTCAGAGAATATAGCTCATGATTTTATTTTTATTTTTTAAATCTGTGGTCTAACACATAGAATGTTTTTACGAATATTTGATATATTTGAAAAGAATATATGTCCTTTGGTTTGGGGATTGAAATATTGTATACATCTACTAGATGAACTGCATTTTTCAAATCAATCATAGTCTTACTAATTTTTGTCTTCTTGATCTCTCCATTTCTCAGATGCATTAAGAGTGTTTCACTGCTATTGTGCCTTTTTCAAATTTTGCCTTTTTTTCATATCACTTTTTGCTTTTTCTTAGGAAGATAATTTGTTGGATGCATAAACATTTGAAACTATGTATCTTCTTAGCCAATTATTGCTCTCATGGATATGAATTCCCTCTTTATCCCTTATAACCCCTTTTTCCTCAAATTCTAGTTTGTCTGAAGTTAACACGGCTTCACCTGAGTGGTAGGTGAGACCAAAGAGTCTCATCTGGCTTTTCAGATAATCAAGAACAGTGAGTTGGACTTAGTTTAAGGTAACTTTTACTTTGGTTTATAAAAAACTAGTTTATAAAAACTAACAAACAACAGCAACAGAAAATCTTGGTGTGGTTTGATTCTTAATTGAATCAAAGGATTTACATAAGATAAGCATGCAGAGTGTGGAGGTGACTCATGGTTGCCCTCTTATTTCTTGTGGACATATGCCTAAAGCTTGGTGGATCTGGATGGAGTAAGACATCTGAAAAGTGTAGAAATGTGGTTTCTCTTCAGCACCAGAAATGACCAATACCACATATACATCAGGAATTCAACCCATCAGGGAGCTTGGCTACCTGGCCTGGCAGCTGGGTTTTTTTCTGAGTCAGCACAAAGCAGTCTCTCCCAGGGGCATTTGTGCTACCCTGCCCAGGGATTTTCCCCCTGTGTTACCTTGAAGGATCTCCAAGGCAAGCCTAATCATGGACTGCCATACCTGTCTGCCTCTTGTTTACACTTGCTTGGTATCTTTTTCTTTTCCTTTATTTTTACTCTTTGGATTTTGTTTTAGGTATATGTCTTAGAGACAGGATATAACTGGATTGCATTTCTTGGTTTTATTTTTATTTTTTTATTTGCCCCTACTGAAAAAAATCCCTCTTAATTGATAAGTAAATTTAACTCATTTACATTTATTATTGGTTCTGCTCTGTTTGGACTTATTCCTGCTTTAGAAACTTTTTAAAGTTTACTTCTACGAGCATTTTTTTTCCCTCTCCCTTTCTCTCTCTCTTCCTCCTGCTATTCTCATTATGTGTCTGTCAAAGCACCTAATGATGTCCCACCTACAGGTCTCTAAGGCTTTGTTCATTTTCTCCCTCTTCCTCAAACTAGATAATCTTTATGAATTTATCTTCAAGTTCATTAATCCTTTCTCTTGCACCTCAAATCTACTGTTAAGCTCCTGTAGTGAATTTTTCATTTCAGATACTGTGCTTTTCAACCTCATAGTTTCTATTTGGTTGTTTTATAATTTCTATCTAGCTATTGATAACCTTTATTTGGTGAGCCACCAATGACACACTTTCTTTTAATTCTTTAGACATGTTCTCCTTTTGTACTTTGAACATATGATAGATGATGTAAAGTCTTTGTCTAGGAAGTGCATCATTTGCCTCCCTCAAGGACAGTTTCTAGTGACTGATTTTTTCCTGTGTGTAGGCCATACTTTCCTGTTGCTTTTCAGGTTACACATACAACACACACACACACACACACACACACACACACAATTTTTTTGAAAACTGGGCTTTTTAGATAACACAGTGTGGCAACTCTGAATATCAGACACATGCACACACACACACACCAAAATTTTCTGTTGCTGTTGTTTGTTTGTTTGTTTGTTTGTTTGTTTGTTTGTTTAGTGACTCTCCTGGACTAATTCTGTACAGCATATATTCCCTATAGCATGCAGCCACTGATGCCTCTGTTCAGTTAGCTTAATAGTCACCTAATGATTAGACGGAGATTTCCTTAAATGCTTTAAGCTAGAAAACCTTCTGCCCTTTGCCAAGGAGCTCATATGTGGCTTGATGCACGCCTTCAGTGCTTAGGCAGTTTACAACTCCGTCATAGCCCACATTTCCTGCTTTCACAAGGCCTCAAGGTCAGCCAGAATTGAGAGACTGGGGCCTTTCAGGTCTTTCCTGAGCATGTACATGGTCTTTCAGATCCCCAGGAATATGTCAGAGCTTTTTAACCTCCCCTATAAATATCTCATTTCTGAAATCCTCCTTTTAAATTTTTGCTGGGTTCTTGTTTGTCCCAACTGGTATCACAGTCCTAGGCAGCTGCTATGTTAATAATTGAAGCTGATTATGCTTCACCCTGGGAATTGGGATTTTCCCGTGCAGAGAGCCTTAAGTAGGAAAACAACGCCTTGGGAATTGGGGTTTTCCCATGGAGAGGTTTCAAGTTGGGTCAAATAATGACAACACCCTGTAAATGAAGCTTTTCTAGAGAACTGCAGTACAGGTCAACAGTGATGATGCTCTGATGATGGAGCTTTCTTAGGGGCTCCTGACCCAACTGTTCCCTCCGATGGCTGCAAGGCCGCTGGTTTTCAAGGCTACTGCGGAGCTGGGGTTAGAAGATGGGAGTGGGCCGAGTTCAAACAGCACAAACCTCACTGTCCTTACGTTCAATAGTTTCTCTTAGACAAACCTTCTTCAGGTGATTTTTATAATTCTGCCAGTCTGGTTGCTTTTAGGGAAGAATGGATTTGCAGAAGCCCTTACTTCACCTTTTTTAGGGATCAGGTCTACTGGCAGGCTAGGTGTGAACTAATAAGAGGTAATCACTGGAAACAGGGTTAAAGTGATGTCCTCGCTCTAGAGGTATCTGGGTTTTTTTTTTAAAGAGACACTTAAAAGATGAAAAAACTTGTTTTAGGATCCATAAGGATCACCCCAAAATATAGGGTGATGTGAGGGCCCTTGGTAAAAATCAGTGGGCTGCCGGGATCACACCCAGGCTTGCACACCCAGCCCCATGACCCCTCGCCCTCT